TTTGGATCTTTTTTATTAACTAGTTTGGCTTTGAGAATTTGGCATTTCTTTCTTTCTTTTTTCTTTTTTATTTTTTAACTCAGTACTTTTCACAGCAGGTAGAAGCTTATTGGAATTACCTGAGGAGAAATTTCAGAGTAAGCGTATTATTGGTTCTTCTCTCACCCCAGCATGGAGGGGGCATGCGTGTTTCGTAAAAGTCTCCTTACGTGATTCTGATAACATTGCCACTCCAATTGAGAAAGGAGTTTTGACTTGGTGGAAATTTCAGCTTAAGTGATACTTAGCCTTTTGCTCCCTGCATCGTTGAAAGATCCCCTCCCTCCACACACAGTACATGATTTGCAGTGCAGGAACGACTACATACTGCTCTTAAAAATCTTGTTAAGTCTTCTACCCTTTCTACCTACCATGTATTGGCAAGAAGGGGAAGCTCTGACTTTCCCTGTCCTCTGTGAGAGCTGCTTGTGTGTTGACCCCTTTCAGTTTCTGTCTTGTGAGAGTAGACAGACATACTGTATGAATAAAATAACACAAATTAAAGAAAGGGAGCCAAATACACCTGAGTGAAAATGAGGGTGGGGAGAGGTCAATATTTTATTTTGTTTCCCTTTCTTTCAGTCTTTATGTCTGGAGTTACTGATGCTGAATTATTTGGGGACACACAAAAACTGGAACTGCCTCTGATTAGGAAGCTGTAGCTGCAGCAGGTGCATACTCCTATGCTCAGGTTCCCAAAAATAACACAGGGGGCCCTTCCAGCACCACACGGATTATTCTCCACTCCCGAACAGGGTATCCTCATGTTCGGAATGTGCTATACAGATGGCAACTTCCATTTCCTGTCTCCTTTGAGTCTTCTTGCACTAAGCACTCAGCTTCCTCTGTGATTTTCCGAGGCTCTCAGTCTCCAAGCTTCTGGGTTTTCTTCCCTCTCTGTCCTCTAAGGTTTTTCCAAGGCAGACAAAGCCCTCAAAAGGAAAAATAGATTTTTCCCAAGCTGTGAAGTCTTCATTTCTAGTGTTCACTTAAAACCAAAAAGAAGGAAAATGTCTTGCTGTTCTGTGTTATAATTTGACTGTTTCTTTTCTTCCTTTCCCAGATCTTTGCTAGGAAGGGATGTAGGGAGAGACAAGTATCTCTTCTGTATTCAGACCTAAGGTGTGATGTTATTTAACTCCTTACAAAATAGCTCTCCAACCTGGAAACGGTCCTAAGAGAAATGTGTTAAGAGGGAAGGAGCATTAAACTGAATTCTAGGAATGAATGTGGCTTCTCTTTATCCCTGCCTCAGTTTCTCTGTTATCCAGATTCTAACTAGAAAAGCTGTGTGGCTGGAAATAGGACTAGGCTACAAGGTCCTTTAGGGAAGGGACTGTCTCACCTCAGTAAAAGCAGTGAACAATGAAAGATGCAGAAAAACCCCAGGGTAGAAAGGAAATAGTCCAGGCAAAAAGTACTTTTACAGCAAAATAAGGTGGTTGACTTCGTAAGCTTTATTACCTGGGTTCCTTAGAAAGCCTTTAGTTCTTTCCTAAGTTATCACCAGAGGAATTTACAAAATTTAAAGGATTTTAGCATGTTCAGGCTAACAATTAAGAGTGGGAATAGGGGCACCTGGGTGGCTCAGTGGGTGAAACCTCTGCCTTAGGCTCAGGTCATGATCTCAGGGTCCTGGGATTGAGCCCCACATTGGGCTTTCTGCTCAGCAGGGAGCCTGCCCCCCAACCCCACCTGCTGCCCTGCCTACTTGTGATATTTCTCTCTCTCTTTCTCTCTCTCTCTGTGTCAAATAAATAAATAAATAAATCTTAAAAATAAAAAAAGAGTGGGAATGGGGTGGTAGATCATTTCTCTTTCTTCCTGCTGCTCTGGCTACTTGTGATCTCTCCTCTGTCAAGTAAGTAAGTAAATAAATTAATCTTTAAAAAAAAAAAAAAGTGGGAGTGGGGTAGTAGAAGTAGATCATTTACCGCAGAAACAAGTTAACAGTCTGGAGGCTTGGCGGTCAGGGGTCATTTAATGTAGGGACAATTAACCCTGAAGCCCTTGCCATCATGGAGCAGGGCAGTGTGGGGATCTGGGAACCAGGGCCCAGAGGGGCGGGGCATGGGAAGGACCACCTGAGCCTTTGTGTCCACAGTAGCCCCCTAAGGATGCTGCCAGATGTAGTGAGGGCCGTGTAATAATCTAGATGCATCATGGTAGGTATAAGTAATACTTACTTTCATTTTACTAAAACAAATAAGCATTTTAAAAAGCACCCTATTTCCATTTAAAGTGATTAAAAATGTAAATATTTTCGTACATAAATGATTCCATCTTTTTATTCCTAAATGTGTCATTTCTTGAAAATGTGAGATAAATGTTACCGACTAGGTCAATAAAGGAGGGATGATATGGTCTTACTGACATCTATCGAACATGCAGAGCTGTGAAAATGATGGATGGTGTGTAAATAAAAGGCAGTATTTATTTCGTTCAGCCCCAGTGGATACTCAGTGTTAATATCTTAAAACTCTTTTGAATACTTTTCTTACACTTTTCATTTTGCATCTGTCTCATAAAATTCAGCATTTTACATTGATCTTGAAGAAGCAATGAAGAAAATAGAGGAAACGAAAAAAAGAATGTTCTGCATTTTTTTAATTAAACTTTTTTTTTTTAAAGATTTTATTTATTTGAAAGAGAAGGAGATAGCGTGTGGAGGGCGGGGCGGGAAGGAAGAGGGGGAAAGGAGAGGAAGAAGCAGACTCCCTGCTGAGCAGGGAGCCCAATTTGGGGCTTGATCCCAGGATCCCGGAATCCCAGGATCATGACCTGAGCTGAAGGCCGACACTTAATGGACTGAGTCACCCAGGTGCCCCTTAATTGAACTGTTTAATGAAGGATAATGAAGTCACATTCAGGTAACCCTCATCCAGATCCAGAAACAGAACATTATCAGAAAGAACCGCCAAAGCTCCTGGTGCTTTGTTTAGTCACTGTCCCTCCTCCCCTCTGTCACCCAGCTCAAGGGTAACCACTATCTCGACGTCTAATAACAGAGTTTAGTTTGAAGAAAGGATGTTAACGTTTAAGCTAAAAAGATTTGGGGAGTCCTTAAGGTAAAGAAGAAAGAAGCATGAATATATACTGTTACCCTTTATTTGACTTGTTTCTCTCTGAAGTGCTTCAGGAGCAGCATGATTGGATTAAAGTGACCAGTTTTTGAGTTTGAATCTGTGTGTACTCAAGTACCTTGTTCATGGAAAAGATGGAAGCCCTATTCTGTACATTTCTGTATATTTCTCTTGTTTTCACAGAAGCCAAAATTCTGTAGGGTCACTCTCTTTTCTGTCTGTGTTTTTGGCTTCAGAGGAATTACCTTCTTTCCATTGAGACTGAAGGCCTGTCTACCTTTGATATTCTGTCATCTGTGTTTCTTACTATTAAATCAACATGTTGATTTAGTCCCAGGACATTGCTAAGTTATGAAAAATGAACTGTTTTCCCCTAATTTACACATTTAAATTTACATTTCACTTTGGGCATTCAGAATTAACTATTCATGGGATACTCAAAAGTTAACTCTTTTTCCGTATACAGGAGAGACGTATCAATACGCGGTGACTTGGATGGAATTTTATACTGTAAATCTCTGCCTATTGTAGTGCTCTTTGCATTCCAAAAATCTTACGATTGCAGTTAAATTCTTTTCTCATTTATAAAGTGAATTGATTCTTAAGCTTTTGCATGTAGAGAAAAGAACTATATACATGCACGCTTTTGAACTATGGAAGTTGTCAGATTGGGGGCCCTCTTAATAGGAAAATTTGTCCATTCAGTATTTGTCTTGGTGCTTTATTAGCTGGGTGCCCTTAGATTTGACTGAAGTTCTAGTTTTACGATCATTTAGTCATGAGACTTACTCCCCAAGCTAGGACTACCAATTTGGAGTTCATCTGGTATAATTTTATTAGATTCCTTTTTATATGTTACGGACTCTGGCTATTTTTTAAAAAATTGTGGTAAAATATACAGGATACAGAATTTGCCATTTTAACCACTTTAAGTGTACAGTTGGCTACTTGGTTTTTAAAGCTTTTACTCATCTCTATCAGTTCTTGTCAACAGATATTTAATGGCCGTCAGCGGAGTGCCTTGTGCTGAGGTTGGTGGATCATTGGAAAATTACCAAAGAAGTATAAACATGGTCCCTGTTCTCAAGGAGATTAAGCCTCATTAGGGAAACAAGATATATGTTTCAAGTAAGGCCTTGAATGTTCAAGGAAAGCTTTGTATAAAGGTGATAATCAGCTTGGTCCTTAATCAGCGGTAGGATCTGTCTAGTTTGAGGAAGGAGGAAGTAGGCAACTAATGTAGTGACCAGCTGTTTCAGTATGAGGTTCATTGTCTTTCAGTCTTTTGCTTTTTTCCAGCTTTGGAATACCCACTGTTTTGTTTTTAATATAAGTTGAATATTCAGATGAGGGAATATATTATTAGCAAGTAATTTTTTTAAAAATCACAGAAATCAAACTTACTTAACTTGTGATACAAACACTATTAAAAATCCAGATTGTAGCAACAGAAGGGTTAAAATTCCTATTAAAATTCTATGCAAATTTCTGTGTTCATGCAGCATTAAACTTTTCAATATATTACCACTTGGGAGTAGGTATTTCATTAGTGAGTTTAGAACAATTGCAGTTATAGTTTTTATGAAAAATAATTGTACAAAAATCAGCATGTAATGAAACACATTTATTGAAATTAATCTCGACTGTCTGCTATTCTGAAATTAGGTAAAAAGTTTATAATGGGTCTATATTGTGCATGAAGAATGAGTTATGATTAATTCTGAATAATCTTGTGCTTGACACTTGATGACAAAGAATGGTGCCTGTCTTATTAGTGTCTGTCTATTATGGGTCAAGGATTTTATTTAGGCTGAACATAATGTCTTACAATAAGAATTACAAAGTGCAAACAATGTTTTTTTTTTCTTACATCTGTAGACAGGCAAACATACATTTGGGACCCCCATGTTCACGTGACATCAAGAGGAAGCGGAAACCTGTGGCCACAGCATCTCTGTCCAGCCCAAATGCAGGTAACTGTATGTAATTTTCATTTATTGAGCACCTACTGTGTGTCGGGCACTAAATTATGTTTTATATACCTTTTCATCTAACCTTTATGATAAGGTAGGTCATTTTATTTCCATTCTACTTAGGAAGATGAGAATGTGAGAAGTAATTTGCCCAAGGTCACACACATTTTAAGAATCCCAACCTAGTTCTCTCTAACCCTGAAGTCTGTGTTTTTTCACTGTGTCATGTGGCTTTTTGAGTCTGAATCCCGGTGTTCCACAATCCACAATCCGCAGTCATTTGTGCTTTTGTTCTAGCACAGATAGGAAATTAGGTCTGTGTTAATGAAAATCCAGTTAGGGTGATGGTATAGTCAGTAGCCAAACATGGATTTATTTCCTTTTTTATTTGGCACACGATACAGTACATTCGCACTGTTTTTATGTGTAATAGAGAGCTAATACTTTACCAGTCATGAACTTTCTAATTAAACTGTTTTTCAAGTTAAAACCTTTCAGTTTCCTGGCCAAAACCAGTTGTTTGGAAACCAAAATAGCGGTTATCTTTGGTGAGGGTTAGTGACTAGGAGAGGACGTAATCAGAAGTCTTCTGCTTCTGAGAAATGCTGTATCTCATCAACGGCATAAGAATTACATGGGTATATCATATGTAAAAATTCATTGAGCTGTATGTTTATGATTTATGCTCTTTACATATATTATCCTTAAAAAATGGGGGGTAGTCATTATATCAGAAAGAATATTGGATGTTTATCAGTATTTTTCTTTGGAGTTAGAAGAAGACAGTTAAACATAATCAGTAACGAGGAAATTTTTGTGTTACTTCAGTGCAGTTGAGGAATTTCTCCAGACAAAAAGAGCACATCTCTTTGTAGGACCTATCAGAAATACCCAGTTATTTTCTTGATGATAGTGGATTCACTCTGAGGAAATTGAGTATATCATAGATATTGTATTTTCTTTAGAAAATACTATATATTATATAGATCAGAACAGTTGATTGATGAGTGAATAATAGACCTCAGAGAGATAGGGAATTCTTTCTCTCTCCCTTAACTCAGTAGGTGTTAGCATACTTTAAAATTGACCTCTTTCAGCTTCTCTTTAGGGTTGCTGCTTGGTAATGGTTCTTACTGGACAATCTTAATCATACATCTGATACTTACAGTGAATTTTTTCCAGTGATTTCTACAGGGCCATGGCCTGAGCTGATTACTTTGCCTGTATTATTTCACTTAATCTTTGCAACAACTTAAAGGGTAGATGCTGTTTTTATTCCTAATTTACACATGAGAAAATTGAAGCTTGCAGAGGTTAAATCACTTCTCCAAAGTCACATGGATGATAAGTTGCAAGCCAAGTTCAAATCAGTTTTCCTATGACTTCGAGAGCTTCCCTCTTCCACACTTTAGGTGTTCTATGTTGTGTAAGATAGCATTGGTTCTTAACTGACTACATCAAAATCCAGTCTACGGTATTGGAAGCATTACAGCAGTCTCCCTTCTTCTATCTTTTGTTCTTTTCTTCCCCCCCCTCAATATCTAGCTTCTATTTTTAGCTTTTAGTTGTTCATAAGACAAGAGCTGTGAGTAGAGTTTAAAAACCTTGTTCCATACCCAAATCAGGAAATGTTACTGGGAGGGATTAAACAAGGTTTGGGCATTAAACATTTCTCCTCCTGAGCCCAACTCCTCCTCTCACTTGTTGACTAAGGTCTGCTTCACTTAACATTTTCTTTTTTTTTCTATCCACAACCTGAGTGCCCCGTGGAGGTGAAGGACATAGCCCGAGCCCGCGCCATCAGTCAGTAGAACAAATGGGCTTGCTCTGCCTAACATCGGGCCATCTCGGATTCCACCTCTTTTATAGAAATGAGTGATGAAGAGAGGTGCGTTCTGCTTTGCCGCTGTATTAATACACATCAGGGGCCAGCTCCTGGCACTAAATCACGCTACTGCATACATCTGTTATCGAACTCTTCACCAGTGTGATGAACAAGACTGCAGATAGAGGCTTCCTTGTGTCATTCTTTATAGGATTTTCCTAAAAGAATAAATAGCTCAGATCTCTGCCAACACTCTCCCCTGTCACTGTGATGAATTCAGCTTCTTTCTTAAACATGCAGCCACAAATCTTTTCCCTTCCCCCTCCCCCACTGGTGGAAAGTTTTGAGTTGAGATTGACTGAATTTAAAGATAGTAATAAGGCTGGAGAGGTGAAGAGCAGAAAGGAGTAGCTTGTCTTCCTTGTCTTTTTATATTAACTCTCAGGAAAGGCCAGGGAAACAGAGCTTTTCATTAGCGTGGTCAAGTAGGTCCTTCTTGAAAGGGCAGCATCTTTTTTTCCTTTTTATCTCCACGCCCTTCCCTTTATGACTTTATAACCTACCCAGGTATCTGGTACACAGAGCCACCCTTGGATTTTAGCGAGTAACCATGTAAACCTGCTTCTGTTTCAGTAACACCAGAATAGGGCAAGTCTGTAACTCACGCTGAAGTGGGATGGCCCTCTGTGCTCTTAAAGAATGTACTTGGAAAAGAAAAAAATGGGTTATTTTCTCTAAGATTTGAGATGAAGTGGCTATAAGAAGCACAAGGAACTCAGATGAAAACCAGATTTCATGTCGGTGAGATGAATGACAAGAATGGAGCCTTTGGTGTACAAATCCCATTCTTTCAAAAATTAAACATGTGGGTTTAGGTAAAGGAGAATCGGGGGAGGATAAGACATTATATTCAGAGCCCTATTTTGGCCATCCCCAAAGCCTCTTCTGACCTTCCTGTCTCCGGGGTAGGTTATGTGTGCTTCGGGCATCCGTTGGAAGGGTACTCAGCAGTTAATCTGTTAACTAGTTACATCAGATTCCAAATACCAGGCCAGTGATGCTAGAGGTGCATTTGCAAGAGCAGGAATTTTTATCTGTTTTGCTCACTTCTGAAACCTGAGCATCTAAAATAATACTCAGCACAGAGAAGGACCTCACTTGGCGTTTCTTATATGAATAAGTGAGTAGAATCTTAAAGTTGAAACAGTTATTCTAAAAGTTATTCTAAAACCCTGTGATTGGATTCAGTAGTTCCATTGTAGGTTCGCCCTTATCTCAGGTGTCATAGGACAGATTCTTATTGCCTCTTTTTATTTTTATTTTAAAGTTCAAATGGTTTTTAAAGTTAAAAATGCTTTATAGTAAATATTGAAGGGCTATAAAAGACTATTTGTGGAAAATAGGTAAGGTGTCAAGAAAAACAATAATAGCAAATATCTTTGTACCTACCATCCACTTCAAGAACATGAACATCACCTTTGGGCACCTGGGTGGCTCAGTGGGTTAAAGCCTCTGCCTTCGGCTCAGGTCATGATCTCAGGGTCCTGGGATCGAGCCCCACATCGGGCTCTCTGCTCCGCAGGGAGCCTGCTTCCTCCTCTCTCTCTCTCTGCCTGCCTCTCTGCCTACTTGTGATTTCTCTCTGTCAAATAAATAAAATCTTAAAAAAAAAAAAAAAAAAGAACATGAACATCACCTTTACAATTTTCCCACTGTCCTCATAGGTAACCATTATCCTCATATGGTTTTTTTGTTATGTGAATAGGCTTTTTTGTTAATCATTTATCATTCTTTGGGGATTTTTTTCAGCTAGCTTTAACAGACATATATAGCTCTCTAAGCAATATATTGTCTAGTTAGCATTCTTTGGAGGCTTGTGTAAATGGAATGTCTTATTTTATAAGTTATAAGTTTTACCGAGTTATGTTTTGAGATTCATTCATGATTTCTCCTGCTAAAATCCTTTTTTTTTTTTTTTTACTGCCATATACATACGGTGTTCCATTGTATGACTGTGCTGAGTACACTATAATTAAACATTCCTGATGGACATTTGGATTATATCCCATTTTATGCCACTGTGAAAAATACCGCAGTGTTCTCTGGGAGAACGTGTGCAGAAGTGTTTCTGGGCTGTTTCACACTCCTTAGGATGGCTCTGTTAAGGACCAGAAAACACAGAAATGTTAGGAAAGATGGAGAGAAATCAGAACCCTTGGGTGTTGCCGGTGGGAACGTAAAATAGTTCAGCCGCCATGGGGCCCAGGGTTGTGGCTCATCACAGTTTTAAGCCCGGGACTACCATATGCTGCAGCAGTTCTGCTTCTGAGTATTTACCCAAAGGGATTGAAAGCGTGGATTCAAACAAATAATTCGTACATCTATGTTCATAGCAGCATTATTCACAGGAACTGAAACGTGGAAACCACCCATGTGTCCATTGCTGGATAAATCAATAAATAAAATGTGGTTTATACATATAGGGCAGTATTATTTGGCCTTGGAAAGGAAGGAGACTCTGACATGCTACAGCACAGGTGAAGACATAATACTAAAGGCAATGAGCCAGGCACAGAAGGATAAATCCTGCGTGATCCCAGTTGTGTGAGGTACCTCGAATGGTCAAATACGTGCAGACAGAAAGGGGAAGGAGGAGAGTAGCAGTTACTGTTTAACAGGTACAGTCTTCCCTTTGGGCCAGTCAAGAAGTTCTGGATGTGGATAGTGGTGATGCTTGTACAGCAGTGCGAATATACGTAAATGCCACGGAACTGTACCCGTAAAAATGATTAAATTGGTGAATTTTGTGTTACGTGTATTTTACTGTAGTAAAATAATATTATAGTTTAAAAAATATAGTAAAAAAATATAGAACAAAAAAACCCAGTTTCCCTAGGATAAGGGGTTTCCCCCCACTGTGGTTGAATACCATATAGTAACGGTAAATACAGTTTTGTGAAATTTATTTTCAGCCAAATGTGAGTGAGTGAGTGCGTGCCCACGTGTGTGTGTTTGTGTGAGAGGGAGAGACAGAGATTTGGGTTGTGGTGTCAAATGTATTTCTTGCTGCCATGGTTGAGGTTCCAAAATGTTTGAAAGCTGTTGCCCTCAAGAGCCTCTTGTATATGCCACAGAGTAGTAGCCTGTGGATTGTTTTTTGCAGTAACTCACAGTAAGAAATTCCTGTTTGAATATGTGAGTGTATGTGTAAATATGAAATATGGGTTCGCTCTGACCTCTCCTATTCCTTTCCATTAAGAAGAAAAGGACTGGTCATGGCCTACAACTTGAAAATTACTGTTCTAGTTACATTTCTAGGAGTGAAATTAATTGAGTGACAAGGTAAAAACGAAAATTTTCTAGATTTTGCTGTATTTTAGTGTATATTCATTTACTCTCAAGCAGTGGGCGTGATGGTGGTTTGTACCACTCAGCTCAGGGGGCATTTGGAAATGTGAGGACAGTGTTTGATCATCACAATGACTGAGGAGTCCTTTTGGCGTTCAGTGGATGGGGTCCAGAATGGTAAGTGTCCTAAAATACACAGCACAACCCTGCACAAGCAGTGATTATCATGTCCAGAATGTCTTTGGTGTCCTTGTTGAAAAACACTGGGCCTGATTGTGTGATTTTCTTATGATATGCTATTTATTGGAAATGCTGTGTTACTGGAGGCATGGGATGTAACAGAAAGAGCCTAAGGGCTTGACGTCCAGTATCTGAGTTTAAATCTTGCTACTTAACTAGCTCTTTTGTGTCCCGGAGCAGTGTATCTGCTGTCTCTCTGCCTCAGTTTTTGATTGAGAAAATGGAGATGACAATCCTACTTGGAAGGGTTTGCATTAGGAAATCAGATTCTGGTTGGACAGTACTTACATAGCACAGTGCATGGCTCGTGAGTGCTCGATAAGTGATCATGACTATCTTACGAATTTGTATGACTGAATTTATTTCTTCTGTTCAACCCGTTTTCTCGGGTAGAGAAATATTTACTCTCTCTCTGAAATTTGCCTTTATGTATGTATGTATGTATTTTTGGAAAGGGAAAAAAAAACCTGTGTAGCCACTTGGATTCATAGGTTAAAAAATAAAAACATTCCGAGATTTGTGCATTGCAGTGTCTCTGATTCTAATTTGTCTCCCCTTGATCTTTTCTTCCTTCCTTTCATTGTAACCACCTTACCAGTTCACGTGGATGGAGCGGAACCAAGCACGCCAGCATCACAGGTCCCGAAATCTCCAAACCCCGAGTGGTTGGTCAGGACCTCTGCCGCAGAGAAAGCCACTGACTCCGCTCCAGCTACGTTTTTTAAAATGCCACCAGAAAAGAGCTCCGGATACAGCTAGAGAGCAGGATCCCGCCCACCAGGAGCCCACTGGGTGCTGTGAAACGCATCCTAAACTTGGTATCAGTCTCGCATATCATAATTGACATTCCCAGTCCTTCCACCGCCAGGATGACCCTTCTTTCACACAAAGCAGTGGACTCTTTCTCTTACGAAATCATGTGGAAATCTGGTTTTTGGTTTTCTGGGTTTTTTTTTTTTTTTTAAAGTAAAGTATTGCAGCAGCAATTTAAAAAAAAAAAAAAGGTCATCCTATGTTGTGTTTGTTACATTGCTGTTGTAGTCCCAGCAGCTTCCTACAGCCCTGTGTGCAGAGCTGTTGCTTTTAGCAGGTATGTCTCTTTTCCTGAAAAACTAGTAACTGCTTTTGCATACTTTTTATGTAGAGCTTTTAATATCATTTGAGGAAGTCCCAAATTTTTAGCCAGTTCTGGACAGATGTAAACACTGAGTTGAGACCTGTGTGTGGCATTGTGTTTACAGGAGATAGAGTTTGCCTTTGAGCCTGGTCTTGATTCACTGAGAGTGCCATAAGCCAAAATTCACCACGTTTTCCTTCGGGAGCCTCAGAGGAGACTCCAGCAGCACGGACAGTGGGAACTTCTTCCATTTTCCTAGACGGCCTCATGGGATCTCCGGCGGCTGGACTGTACTTCGCCGCGTCTCCAGAGTTGGTGTTCTCCCACAGAAGGATGTGTACATTCATGCTGTAATGAAGAAGTGGTTGAGTTCTGCAAACTTAAAATAGTCAGTGGATCGTGTCTTAATACTTCATGTCACAGTGTAAGCTTTTATGTACGAAATGGGACTTTTATTGTTAGCTTATAGGTCAATAACCTGCAGCAGAAATCCACACTCTATTATAATAATGGCTTCTCAGGGCCATACTTTGGGGAGAAAAATGTCTTTTTGACACGCCTTTATACTTGGTGTGTGTATGACGGCTCAGCTGCGTGTGGAGTTATATATACGGCCGCGCCTGAAGTTGGATGCTACTTTGTCAAAATGAGGAATCAGTGGCTGCCTGAGCTGCTGGAGAAAAGCCGCCCTTTCTGAAGTATTATCGTGAGTGTCATTTGGGGGCCTGGTTGACGGAAGGGTTCTTTTTTGTATGAATTGAGTACATTCACTCTGAAATACAGAGAAACTGTTCTCTCAATGCCCACTTCTCTGGCAGCGTCCCAGAGGAACTCCCAGTCCTGCCCCTGGATATTTTCTGTGCTTGAATGGGTGCCGAGTGGGACGGAGCCTCCTTTCCCTGAAGTGCAGCTGCGTCTTTTCCTCGCACAGAACGTGAGGGTGGGCTGCTCTGTTGTGTTCCCTTTTAAAAATGATAGTCCTTATGTATTAGTGCTTAACTCTAGGATTTCCTTGTTGATGGGTGGGTGTGACTCTATTTGGGAGGGGGGACTTGAAGCTGATTTAAATGGCACTTTCTGTAAGAGGGAGAACACGTCCTTCAGTTGTTCATAACGAGGAGTCTGGTGGAGGGAGGGGCAGGTGGGAGATTAGGAGGTGAGGAGCAGCATTAAAGCCAACCTAGCATCCCTGGGAGCCACCCCTGTTTCTCCTGTCACCCCTTGGGGCTGCATCCAGGGCAGTACAGAAAATAAAGTGCCTATTGAATATGAAATGGCACTACTATATTGTTTTAGGAATGAAGGGGGGTTTTATTATCGTATGTGCATTATTGTCATATGTGCGTTCTTATCTAGTCCCCATCGTGTCCTGAGACACATTTCTAACATAATTTGTTGGATTTAAGAGAAAAATACACAGACATAATTTTATTTTCTTTGCACTAGGCTCTGGCTCTTGCAGAGACGGGTCCTGTGATCATGTCCTATTCAGATCTCCACAGTGCAGATAGAATCTTTTTGCCTGGCAGTTCTCCTATCTACCTGTGATTACAAATAACTTCTATATATGACTTTATTTACATTTTTAATATCTCTAGGTTATACTGCCATTTTAGAGAGAAAAGAATGGTCACAGAGTTTAGCGACTTGCCAAAAAAATCACATGATCAAGCCAAGACTAAAATCCCAGACTTTCGGACTTCCTCTGCCCTGGGTTATAATCTTTTGTTTTCCCTTGGTATATCTGAGTCACTCTGAGACCCATAATTTTGAATCAGTGTGTCATGAATGTTTATCATCTTTCTTGGGCATGCTTTTCTACTTTGAATACATTCAATGGGGATTATCCAGAAATGCCAAATATGCCTGTAATAAGTGGGGAAGAAAATTAATTGCCTAAGAAACAGCTATGAATACTTTGCAACACAGGGTTGTAAATTGTGCTCCTCATTTTAAGCTGCTGCATGAGCATGCGGACAGAATTCTTAACCAACTTACTTCGCTTGTTTTCTATATGAGTCAATTCCAGAGGAATAACCTTAGAATTGAGTGTTTTTTGAACCATAAATTTTAAATTTCTTTTTTACATAGCAAAGTGTATGATATCATACATTGAGTAAAGTCTGTTACCTTTTAACGAAAGATACAATTTCAAAATCAGGTTTTGTAGTCTCTTAAAAAAACTGATAGCATGACTTCCTTTGAGGATAATCATGGAGCTCACATGTGTTTTATCTGCCTAAAAGTAGTAAGGAAGCTGAGTTCCACAGTTTTTATGTATTTCCAACTTCTGATTCATCCAAGCTGGCCACACAGTCTGCCTGTCTGAATCCTAACCTTCTGTGTTTTCCACAAGGAGCAAAAGTCAAGACATTATCCACTTGTATGAACATCATTCCTAGAAATCCCTAAAAAAAATTTTGCTTACAAGGGAATTTGAGATTATTTTTCAGGTACAGCATTTTAAAGGGAACAAGTTCATTTGCATCAAAACTCTTACGTTGCTTTTTGGTAAGACCTGTGCAGAAGAGAGAATTAGCTGTTTACATGGTGCCAAATTGAGGAGAGGCAGAGTGTGGTCTTTATTGAGTGGCGTGTGCTTGATAAATAAGGCACATTTAACCTTGAATTCTTTTGAAATCAAATGCAGTTGAAAATTTGTTTTGCTGGGCTGTGAAACAGGCTGCAAACAAGGCTGTTTTGGCAGCAAAATGACCAAAAGCTGAAATAAAATTTCTTATTCTCTGGTGCTGGTGGCGTCCTTTGCTAATGAGTAAAGTTCCACACTGACAATAGGTAATTAAACCACTTACATGATTCCCACGTAGAGGACTGTGACCTATCTTTTTGCTTTTTGGCATCAGAGACCCAGTCTAGACCACAGCATTGGAAGTTATGGAGTCGCAGAGGAGCAGAGCCATCATAGACCTCTGTCACTTGAAACTGAACGAGAGAAAGGAGCTAGGCTGGCAAGTGTCAGTGCTGATGCCATGGCCTCTCTGCTTGGGCTCCAGGTGATGTTTGATTCATTTCAGGTCTTTTCTTAAGTTTGGCCTCATTACTGTAGTGTGGGCCATACACTTTTGTTTCCTGGGGACAAGGCTCTGTAGAAGTCTCAGCATTAGGAGCCGCAGTCAGTATTCCCTAAGTCTGGTGAACCTTTTGTGAGCCAGCGTGAGAACAGAATGGCTTACTCTAGGGACTGCGGATGTGGTCTGGTTGGGGGCACAGTTTACAGGATCTGTCATGATTTACAGGGTGGCGGGAGGGATGGTAGAAGCAGCTTGCTCTTGGTGTCAGCTGCTTCCTTTGTTAATGCTTGAGCTGTCTTACTTGTCCGTATTTCCTTATCTCCTGCTCTGGTCGTGCCAACTGGTAGAATTACTGATGGTGGAAGCAGTCAGAATGGGTTCCTACTCCATCAGGAAATGGCACAGAGGAAGGTGAGGGGATCAGTGGGTTCTGCTTTGATGGCCCAGAGATGCTTTCACACTACATTAAGATCCCCAAACAGACAAATGTCAAATGCCTGGAAACAGCAACATCGAAAAGAAGCAAGGAAAATGAATGATTCACCGAAGAATATGGATTGTAAGGTTTTTAACAAGCCTGACAAAATAAACTTATTGCCAAAAGGAGAACTTTTCCTGCCACTGCAAATAGATATGATAAGCACTTACTAAAATTGCCGAGTTTTTGGAATAAAAGCTCTTCAACTACAGTATTGTAGATCCCAAAGATGTTGACCAGGGACAACAATCTTGGCAACGTCCAGAAGTGAGAAGGCATGAGGAAGAGAAGGGGAGATGCTCAGAGCAGGGGTGTTGGGGCCCCTCATCCACCAGCAGCAGCACATACTTAACCCCCACCAGACCCACTCAATCAGAAACAGGGTGGGCCCGGCAGTCTCACAAGCCCTCTGGGGACTCTGGTGCACGTGGACATTTGAGAACCACAGGCTTTGCTGAACCTAAATGTTTTAGTATGTTGGCATCCCCCTAAGCTCTGAGGTGCACTTATATTTCCCTCCATCAGTATAGACATGTTTTGTACACAATTCTTTGCGGCAACTGTTAATTAATGTCTTTATTTCCCATACTTCTTCCCTAAAGCCTCCAAAAGATCTGGAAATATTGAGAAAGAATGATGTGGAGAAAATTGCCATCAAGGCCATATTTGGATGGATAGAAACAATCTTTAAAGTGGATTAAAATATAACAATGAATTTTTAGTCTGTGAGTGGTAGTCATTTTTCACAATTGATGGTAAAACATTTTATGTAAGATACTACTACCCATGATTTCATGATATTTGTTCATTACATCTTAATTTCCTGGGAAAATGTCATGCATTTTCCAGCATAATAATGATGAAGTAGTTAAGGTATGGCTCACACAAATGAAAATATTTGGAAAAAGAATACCACCCTGAGAACATAGTATTGTATGATAAATATTTGTTGAGTTATTGGTGGTCTTTTGCTAGGGCTTAATCTTGGTACTTCAGAGCATGTAAAAATCAATTTTCAGTGATCCACTTAATCACACCCTGTTGTTTTACATTTCAGTGATTCTGCAGGGCTTGGTGGCCAATAGCAACTGCTTGTTCTATTTTTTTTCTAACTCATGGATTCAGCATTTCAGAATATGATGCTCTAATCTTAAAGCTTTGAAATGAAATCATAACCATTTTTTTTCTCTGGGTTTTATTTGTATGAATTGGGCAAGGCT